TGCAGATCATGAAGGCCCTACACGCTGCAGATCATGAAGGACCTACACGCTGTAGATCATGAAGGCCCTACACGCTGCAGATCATGAAGGCCCTACACGCTGCAGATCATGAAGGACCTACATGTTGCAGATCATGAAGGACCTACACGCTGCAGATCATGAAGGACCTACACGCTGCAGATCATGAAGGACCTACATGCTGCAGATCATGAAGGACCTACATGTTGCAGATCCTGAAGGCCCTACATGCTGCAGATCCTGAAGGCCCTACACGCTGCAGATCATGAAGGACCTACATGTTGCAGATCCTGAAGGCCCTACACGCTGCAGATCATGAAGGACCTACATGCTGCAGATCCTGAAGGCCCTACACGCTGCAGATCCTGAAGGACCTACATGTTGCAGATCCTGAAGGCCCTACATGTTGCAGATCCTGAAGGCCCTACACGCTGCAGATCATGAAGGACCTACATGTTGCAGATCATGAAGGCCCTACACGCTGCAGATCATGAAGGCCCTACATGCTGCAGATCATGAAGGACCTACACGCTGCAGATCATGAAGGATCTACACACGCTGACTGAAAAATGTTGGATTGTATACCTGGATTATTGAGCATGGACTTTGTTGTTTTCAACCAGTTTGACATGACTGTCAACAAGGAAGAGGGCCAACAATGGAGGAGGGGGCGTACCAAAGAGACCATCTTATCACTAGCAGAACTGGTTTGTTCCACTCTAGAGTAAGCTGTTGGAGGAAGAATCAGTTCTGTTGTGTGTTTCCTTAACTGATGAAGCCTTCTGGATCGAAGGCGAATCGTTTCAGCACAAAAAAAAAAGAAACTGTCCAGATGACCTGACTGAAAAATGTTGTCTTGTATACCTGGATTATTGAGCATGGACTTTGTTGGTAGTGTTCAATATTTTCCATGTCAGAATGAATGAACTCGTCAGATTTCAGCCAAAAATTAGATCATAAATGGGGGGGGGGGGAGACATCAGTTGCTTCGCTGTATAAGTCGCAGGGCATGCTAATTTATGCAAAACGGTGCAACTTATACAGCGAAAAGTACGGTATATAAATACGAGTTTCAGTTTCTGCAATTATTGACAAGAAATGTTAACTTTTCAAGATATATATATTTTTAGATGCACTTGTAAACCTAAACCCTGGAAAAAAAAAAATCTAAAGGAAGTAGACAGAGGGGAAAAAATGGTGTAACCTGAATCGTGCAAGAAGCGGGGCCCGACTTGGTTAATGGGGGCTCACATGCCATCAAATCCAGAACACGAATCATCTTGTAACTACAGGCACCGCAGGTCCAGTACGTTTGACATCTGCGGACCTCTGTCAGGTCAACGACGGAGCAAAAACATGGCTGTCTTTCTGGTGTGACGCAATATGATGATGATGATGATGACGACCTACTGGTCAGGACTGTGACCCAATGACCCCCATGGTTGATGCCAAGGGTTAAGACCAGCAAAAATATAAAATGCGTTGCACTCAGAGTATGTGTTGCGAATGATTCTCACCTACTACCACAGCAAACTTTATCTCAGAATCTGTGAAACTAACTGAGGTACAGCTGTTTGTGTGTAGGCTTGTTACAAACAATTCACGTGGCCAGTTTGGCAGCTTCATCACCATCAAAGCTTAGTCTACAAATGTGGAAAACCACCGTAGACACTACTAACTCGTAATCCTTCCACGATGGCTGCCTTCAGATTGATTAATGTAAAGTTTGTGCGACGTCAACTTCATAACGAACACTTTTGGTTGCTCTGGGTGATTAACAAGCCCCCACCCCCCGCTTGTAGTTTTTAATACAAAGCCAGGCTAACTTTAAACAAATGCACAATATAAATCTGAGTAAGAACTCTGAGGAGCTCTCGTGAAACATCCCTCTGTAAGAAAACTGTTCTTCAAAAAAATAAAGGGATTACAAATTTACAGTAAACACACAACAAAAGTTTTATTGTGAAGTTTTTGTGAACTTAACAAGCTCGTAACATTTGAACAAACGAGCCCCTCAGGCTCAAATGGCCATTTCTAATCTCCAAGAGGCTTTTTAAAACAAACCATTTGCTTTCATTAAATATGCAAATATAACATAAAGAAGAGAAGAAGAGTCCCTTTTCTAATAAAAACAAACAACAACAAAAAAAACCTGGTGGAAAGTCTGTTCGGCCTTTAATTGCTTTTTGTTGGAGCAAACAGCCGAGCCTCGAGGCCGACTCTCCGTTGTCCACCTACAAACCACCAACAGCTGCGCTCATGAGCCCCGAGCTCCGCCCGTGCGCGACTTACCACATGGCGTGCATGTAGGTGGGGGGCAGACGAGGGCTGCTGACTGGAGTACAGTTGTACGACCTCATTATCCTCTCTGCTAGCAGGAAGTTTCGGAACAAGCTGGCCACCAGCAAGTCCTGACGAAACAGCTTCTGGAACAGATCTGAAGGAGGAGGAGAGAAAATGGGATTTATCGATCAGGATAAATCAATAAATCAAGGATTTATCAATCAGGATGCAGAGAAACGAGACAAAAAGTGAATAAATTAACCTAAAAATATAAATACAGGAGAGGAAAATGAAGCAGCTGATGGGTCATGAATAAAGTTTCATTTAACGGCCTAGTCCACACCAAGATCATGTTACGACGATTTACAGCCAGTTAAGTCCAACTTTGTATAATGTGCTCAAAATATATTTGAAAAACAAACTAAGTGTAAAAATGCACAATTTAGCTCACCATCTGTAAAACTGAATGAGGTAAAGCCGTGCTGTGTTGGCTAATGTTGATTAAATACGGCTGCCATCTTGAAAAAGTTTGATCCAAAAAGTAACAACTTGTCCAACTTTCACTGTTTCTTTATGATTCGTGGGTTCACGAGATATTTTGCTAACAGAGTTGTACAGAACATGAGTGGCACCAGAGTAAGAAAGATGTTCTCCAAAATTTTGTGTTCAAGACTTCTGAGGTAACCAAGGATTAAAGCAGAAAAAATATTTTCACTGTAATTTACAAGTCACCTGAATACTTGACCTTAGTAAAAGTACACAGAATAGTGTGTACACAACCTTTGTAAGGTACAAAGTTTATTGAGTACTTGACCTTAGTAAAAGTACACAATATAATGAGTACATGACCTTAGTAAAAGTACTCAGAATAGTGTGTACACAACCTTTGTAAGGTACAAAGTTTACTGAGTACTTGACCTTAGTAAAGGTACACAGTATAATGAGTACATGACCTTAGTAAAAGTACACAGAATAGTGTGTACTTGACCTTTGTAAGGTACGAAATTTACCGAGTACTTGACCTTAGTAAAGGTACACAGTATAATGAGTACATGACCTTAGTAAAAGTACACAGAATAGTGTGTACACAACTTTAGTAAAGGTACATCGTATAATGAGTACATGAGCTTAGTAAAGGTACAGAGTATACTGAATACTTGACCTTAGTAAAAGTACACAGAATAGTGTGT